TAATCGTTTGTGGCCTTTTTTCCTTGTAGCTGATTTTTAATGAGAGTTTATTTTTAATGAGAGTTGATTTATCTGTTACCTGTGAGGATTTAGCCAACATTTCTGCATTGATCTCGTATTTTCAACAGCTGGTGTCAGTCATCATCAGCACTGACAAGAGGTGTAAACTTTCTGTGTTTTTCTGGCTGACATTCATACTTTTAAGCCTTGTTTTAACAGTATGCACTGCTCGAAAAATTAAAGGAATGCTTTTTAACCAGAGTATAGCATCAGGTCAGTCAAACTACTGGCATATTGATCTGGTCAGTTAAGTAGCAGAGTGGGTTAGGGGAGGGAAATCCGAGGACCTGGACTGCTGGGCACCGGCTATCCTAAAGAACTGGTTCCCAGTAGTCCAATTCAAGTAATTCAATTGTTAGTCTGTCTGGTTATTGATCCCATTGTTCTTGCACTACAATCAGCTGATTTTAGTTTGCGTGTGAGAGGAGTGAAATAGCGGCGCACTCTGCAACATGGATATGGACATTACATTTATTTTTATTGCACTTTATTTTTTGTGCAGTATATTTGCTCAGTATGATTTTATTTTTCTATTTTCACATCACCTTTCTTTTAATTGTCTCCTTTTCCCCCTCCAGATGTCCCACAGCAGCATTTCTGTAAGGAGGAGGAAGTTATCGCTGACCAGCAGCTCTGGAACCAGGAGAGGAGCTCCAATCTGGACCAAGAGGAACCAGAAGCTCCACAGATTAAAGAGGAACAGGAGCAACTCTGTAGCAGTCAGGAAGGAGAGCAGCTGGTACTTAAGGAGGAGATTCATGCCTTTATGGTGACTGCTGCTGAGGAAAGAGACCACAGTGAACCAGAACCAAAAAGAGACCAAGTCAACTGTGTCAGCTCTGCTGTAGCAGTGAGACAATATCAGGGAGGAAGGAAGAAAGATTCACAATCACGAAGAAATAAAAAAAAAGGTCACAATAATGTAGAACACCAACCTACGCCAGACAGTGAGTGCAAGTCTGACAAAAGTAAAAAGTCTTTAAAATGTGATGTTTGTGGAAAAGCCTACAAATATAATTATGAAATGGAAAGACATTATAGAATCCATACAGGGGAGAAGCCATTTTCCTGTAAAACATGTGGGAAAATGTTTGCACGTAGTGGTTCTGTAGTGAAGCACATGAGAATCCACACAGGTGAGAAACCATATTCTTGCAAAGTGTGTGGGAAAAGTTTTAGACAGACAAATGGTTTGACTGTCCACATGATCACGCACACAGGTGAGAAGCGACATCACTGTGAAATATGTGGGAAAATGTTTGCACGTAGTAATGGCTTATTGAGGCACAAAAAAATTCACACAAGTGAGAAACCTTATTATTGTAAAA